GCTAATCCGTGTCGAGTAGAGTCAGGTATCTACCTCAGTACAATGGAAGATGATCGCGCAATTTTGTGGATTGATTTAGGTTAGACATTAACACCGTTGGATGCCGACTCAGTGGTCTAGGAGTTGAGCGTTCGCGTGCGAGACTGAAGGTCTTGGGTTCGAATCCCGCAAGCGGTATCGTGGATGCGAACTGCTGAGAAGTCCCACAATAAGACTAACGGCCGTTGAGTGTTACCAGGTTTTCAATGGTGGTCTTATATTAATCGGCTCATGATCTCAATAAAAAATAGATAAATACAATCATTGATGTGAATTAGATTATAAATAGTTGATGAAAAATGTAGCAAACATTTAAAAGCCAGTAATATAGTACCGAATATTTACAGATAGTTTTCATCATATGAAATTATATGAAAATTTCTTTTGAAATTTCCTTAATAATCCAATAATAAGGTGACTTCCTTTAATATTTATCCTACTTGGTCCTATCATATTTATAGTTCTATGCAATTGTTGTTCATTCTTCTCATGTCTGTCTCCATTTCTTAGCGTAACGTGTTCATTCGTCTTCGTCTTCTCCTTTGACCTTAAGGATTCCTAGTGAGAGCTTGCGTTGATACACAGATAGGTGCTTTCCTTAATGTGTGTTCTACCCACTTTTTGCGCTTCTTCCTGATTTCTTCCTCCGCTGAGATCTGGTTAGTTTTTATCGACGGTACGTTGTTGCTGACAGTGTAATGTCTGGTCAACGGATCCAAGGTATTTTGCATAAACAACTGTTAATAAACACTTGTATCTTCCGAATGATGGCTGTAGTAGTTCTGCAAGTTTCCGCCTCATACAGTAGAAGAGTTCTGACATTTGTATTGAAAATCCTGACCTTGATGTTGGTTGACAGACAGTTGTTTTGAGTTCCAAATTCTCTTCAATTGTAGATATGCTACTCTTGCTTTGCCGATCCGCGCCTTCACACCTGCATCAGATCCATCGTGTTCATCAGTGGTGCTGCCCAGATATGTGAAGGTTTGTACATCTTCCAAATCTACTCCGTCATTTGTGATTGGATTGGTGCATGCTGTGTTATATCGGAGAATCTTAGTTTTCCCTTTGTGTATGTTGAGATCTACTCCTGCTGAGGCTGCTACTACACTGACCGTCTTCTTCTGCATTTTTTGTTGCTTGTGCGATAGAAGAGCCAGATCATCTGCGAAGTCTATATCGTCCGACGGTATCCTAGATGTCCACTGTATTCCATGCATCCCTTCAGATGTCGACGTTTTCATGATCCAGTCGATTACCAGGAGCATGAGAAAGGGTGAAAGTAAGCAACCTTGACTTACACCGGTCTTTACTTAGAACGAGTTTGTCAACCACTGAAATACCATTCGATGAGAATTCTGTATTGTATTAATAATATAACATTGAATAAAGTCATTAATAATAATAATAATAATAATTATTATTATTATTATAATAATGGTAATGATCATTTCATATCCATTATGAATAATTTATATGAATCAATTATCAATCATTTTGATTAGTTGTCGATAAAAAGAACAAACAAATTCATTGACGTATTCAGTTATGATAATTAAGTATAGTCTAAAGTGATTGTAAATAATCAAACAATAGTACATTATAAATTTTATAATTTCTAGTAAAAGAGGAGTAAGAATCAATGATCTAATACACAAAGATGAAATCAAATATTGTGACTGTAATGCCACATATGTAGGTGAAACACCAAGACAACTAAATATGAGAGTGAAGGAACACAAACTATGCTTAAAGCATATTCCTAAACCTTCAGATGATATAAGAAACTGTGAGAACAAATCAATGATAGCATTACACTCGATAGAATAAGGTCATACAATTTACATGAAAATTCTTTAGAAAGGCTTTAATTCTTACAAAGAGAGACTGACAGCCAAAGCCTTACACATATGGGCAATTTCATACAGTAATACTAGGAAAGATGAAGTGCCATTAGCTGTCCCATGGCAACTAATAATTATTAAGTTAACATGAACTACTTACTTACTTACAAATGAATATGAAATCACTTACGTTTACACATAATCTGTTATCTTAACACTACATATCTCTTACACACTAATGTAACTATCTATTTTAAACATTGATTAGATGACTTATTACAGTATACAATGAACTGGAGAATCATATCCTTATTTATATTCGATAATTTTAATGTTTGATTATATTTCCTTGATAAAGCTTGGACAAGATCGGCAAACAAAATGTTGAATTTACTTCAACAACTACAATCTTGTTCTTTAATGTCACACATCAACTCGATGCGCAAATGTTGTAAAACTATTCAATCAAATTTAGATGAAAGTTTTTATTGATGCTATTCATTTGTGTTATCTTTAAATGAATTCTCTTATAACCTGTAGATTTGTGCCCCTATCAATATATAACATGATGATTAGGTCAATTAAAGAACAGTGAATTATTAGCCGGGTCAATAACGAATAAAACCTGTACGGGCAGTCTAGAATCCTTAACCCAGCTAGTTAAGTCCAGAACATCAATCTCAGCCTCCGCCATATGAATCATGTAATTTAAACACACTGGGTTTATATTTAAACCAAACAGACACGATGTCCCATAAAAATAGGAAACAACATTTGTACAAGATTTAGCCAAATGTGGCTGTGAATGTGAGAGACTGTAATTGATAGACTGGGCATTACTCAACAATAGTAAATCATATAATAGTAGTTCATAGGTTTGATTGTGTAGCTATCGGTAATGTAAAGCTATCATTCCTACAGTTGAACAACACATGGAACTCAGAACAACTGTTTATCAATTAATATCAAAGTCAAAATCTTCAATACGAACGTCAAGACAGTTCGAATGTATGGAGATGAAACTTCCAGAACTACTACAACCATCATGTAAGATGTATAAATATTAATGAACAATTGTCTACACAAGCTACTCAATGTCACTTGACTGGATATAATCAGCAACAGTCTACTGTGGGAGAGAGTACACCATCTTCCAACTGAGGAGGATATTATGAATAGACGTTGGAATTGACTAGGATACAAATTGAGGAAATCATCAAATTGCATCACGAAGCAAACGCTAACTTTGAATGTTGAAGGTAAACGGAAAAGTGGAAGATCAAAGAATGCACTGCGTTGAAAATTGTAAGTAGACATGAAAAGGATGAATAGCAGTTGTAAAGAACTGTTAAGTATTGTTCGGGACAAGCTTAGTTGACGAGTGCTGTTGGACAATCTATGCTCCTCCACGATTGGTAACAGTTGTAACTAACTAAATAAATGTATCAACTAAGAAATTATGCATTAAGAATCGGTAAAATGTTTTAATTAGTCTACCTTTGTATACCTGGAGGTAACAGTTAACCAGATGACGACGTGAAAGATAATGAATTTGTCAGCTTAACAAATGAAGTCGAAAGTTTTTTGTTTTTAATAAAAACTAAAGAAATAAGAAAGAACGACATAATCTAGATGTGTTTAGTGTTCGTATTATGTATATTCTTGTATGTCTTATCTTGTAGACTATATCACCTATAGACTGTATTTTTAAGAATCATGGCTTCTTCGATGTTGTTCTGCTATGAATAAATGTTTTATCAGTATAAGGTTGTCGAGATTGTTACCATTTTCATTGTGATCATAAATCGATTGATCATAGACCACCACTGAAAACCTAGAACTATCAGACGACCATTTCGTCTCAGTATGGGACTTTTCAACAGCAAGCATTCACGATTGTGCTATAAAGGGACTCGAAGTCAGAACCTTCAGTCTTGCGAGCAAACATTTAAACTTTAGACTACTAAGCTAAAATTCAACAGTGTTAATGTCAAACCTTAACTAATCCACAATATTACACGATTGTCTACCATTGTCTTCAGTAAGTAACTGCCTCACAACGAACATAGTGGAATTCCAATTGTCATAGCTTCTCATTAGAACTTTAGGAAATTTATTTTGAAGCTAGTCACTAGTATCATTCATTCAAAGACCATACAATTCTAACTCATAATAAAAAGATGTATAATTAATACGTAAATATTCTCTATTACCTTTATTATATACTACTACTACTAATACTACTAATACTAGTACTACGAAATAAAACAGACATTATTATGATGAAAATTCATTGGTGGACACTATGAAATGTCTCTTTTCTTTCTCTGTTTTTTTTTACACTGACTTTAAGATCATATTTATTTATTGTGATGAAAGATGTGCACATGTACTTGAATTTGTGTGTGTGTGTGTTTACTTTCGTTCTTTCTTTCTTTCTTCCTTCTTTCCTTGTTTGTTCGTTTGTCTATTTATTTTTATTACTATGGTCACTAAGCCTAACCTGATAATCTAACCATAATACAATCTAATAGATTTTCGATTTACATCATTTCGATATATTTATATATATGTGAATAGACAAAATACGTCCTATATATATGTACATACATACAAACATACATACATACATACATACATACATACATACATAGATACCTTGTAGGTAAGTATTTCATTTGATTTGTTCCCCTATTCACACTTATCATTTCTATAATGAAGATAGAATAAAATGAAATTTCAATTACATCTTCATTATTATCTTTATTATTATTATTATTATCATAATAATTATGTGTAATGAAAATGCAATTATTGCACATTCATGAAACGTATACTAAAATAAATAAATAAACAAACAAACAAATAAATAACACATACTTTCACACACACACACACATACAGATACATCCGCACAAAACAAACAAATATACACACAAAAAAGATCATCTGTTAATTTCAATAAGACAATTCAATTGTTCAAATGTACAAATTAGATCTCTATAGATTAGAAACATCTTTATTCCAATAAATATTATCTTTATTAAAATGGAATTATACAAATTATCTTTGATTAATTCTATGAAAATATTCATTTAAAACACACATATAATAACAATGTCTAATTATACAAATTTATATTCTATTACAAATAATCATAATACTACTACTACTCATATTACTATTTCTAGTAGTAGTACTACTACTATTACTACGATTACTAATACTACAACTACTGATCCAACTACAAATCATACTACTTATATTATACCTATGTCATTATCTAAACAAAATGAATTAGATTTAGAATATTTAGATCATATATTAAGTTTAATGCGTTTAATATGTGGTAAAATATTAACACCATTATTATGTTTAATTGGATTTATATCGAATATTATTAATATTATTATATTAACAAGAGAATGGATGAGTTCATCAACAAATATTTATTTAACAGCTGTATCTATATGTGATTTATTATATTTATTATTTACATATTTATTTTCATTATGGTTATATCCATCTATTAAACAATTAACTATTTATGCTTATAGTATAACTTATATACATGGTACTGCTAATTTATTTAGTAATATAACTACATGGCTTACTGTAAGTTTTACATTAGAACGTTATATTGTTATATCATCACCTATTTTAGGTAAAAGATATTGTACTAAACAACGTGCACGTTATGTTATTATTATTATATTTATTATATGTTTTTTAATAACATTACCAGATTATTTAAAAAAAACAATTAAATATAATAATACTACTCATCATAATAATATTACTTATAATAATAGTAATCATCCTAATCAATTAATCAATAATTCTACAAATATCACAATTAATAATCAATATTTAGTTGTTGATACACAAATCAATATTATTTTAATTAAAATTGGTTATGATTATATTAATCAAATAATCTTTATTATATTACCAATGATATTATTAATTATATTTAATAGTTTATTAATACGTTCTGTAATGAAAGCAAATTATGATCGAAGAATATTAATAAAACAAGGTAATAATAATAATAATAATAGTATTCCATCGATCAATATTATAAATGATCCAAAAAATATTGATTTATTACCTAATAGTAATACTCATGGTAATAATAATGATAGTGTTAATACTAATAATGGTGGACGTAAATATAGTATGATACAATTAAATCAAGAAGCTACAACAAGTCAAATAGTACCAGCTATTGTACGTGATGCATTAGAAGCAAGTATGAGAACAACAATTGGTATAACATCTAGTATAACACAATCATTTCGACCGATGAATTATCATACAAATCTATTACCAATTATGAATATAAAACGTACAAAATTAGGTGAACAACATCGTATAACATTAATGTTAATAACTATTGTAATAGCATTTGTATTATTACAATTACCAAGTATGGTACCAACCATAATAATGAATTTATGGAATACAGGTATTATAAAATCAACACAATATACAACAAAGTGCCTATTAATCTATGCTAATATATCAAATGTATTATTAATTATTAATGCTGCATTAAATTTTGTATTTTATTCATTATTTTCAGCAAGATTTCGTCAAACATGTTATATACTACTGAAAAATATTACTTGTTTAAAACATTTTTTATATCAATAATATTTATACTACTATTAATACTACTTATATCAATAATAATAATAATACTAATGATTTATTCATTTATTGATAAAATACAATACATCATTACAATCTATCATTGAACTAATTCTGTTTCTATATACAATGATGAATGGGCATCTGTTAGAAACATTCATAGTAAATGAAAGTCAATTAATCTATCCTGAGTATACATAGAGAATCTTTGGAAAAGTGGTGATGTTTACTTAAGAATTAATCTATCTATATATCTAATAATTTTCTAATGGAAGAATATAGAATGTTCCAAGAAGATGAAGTAATGAAATTCATTGAAAGTAATCAAAGTAATAATGTCCATGTTCTCATTAAAAATAAACAAACAATTATACAATTGTGATCTGATCATAACTAAAGTAACCAGATATAATTATTATGTAAACTGTTTTAAAGAAAATTCCTTTGATATATATATACATGTATATATCTATCTATCTATATATCCCTATATATATCTATATAACCTATTATTGAACATAAATGCATGGATATACAATGTGAATGACATGTATTTTCACAGCTTATAATTGTTTCATTTGCCTAGTAGAACTATAGATAATAAATATATACATATATATTTTGTAAATAAAGAAAATGTTTCCATTGAAAGAAATTAGTGGGTAAATCAAGTACTATATAATATACATGTGGAATACTTACTTACTTACTCCTGTTATTCCAAATGGAGCATAGGTCACCGATTAGCATTCTACAACACATTCTCTCCTAGACCTTCTTTTCAACTTCTATCCAATTGTTGTTCATTTTTCTCATGTCTGTCTTCATTTCTTGGCGTAATGTGTTCATTCATCTTCGTCTTCTCATTTGATCTTGAGAATTTCAAGTGAGAGCATGCATTGTGACGCTGATGGGTGATGTATGTTCTATCCACTTCTTGCGCTTCTACCTGATATCTTACTCCATTGGGATCTGATTTATTCTTTTCTACAATAGGTTGTTGCTGATAGTGTATGGTCAATGAATCCGAAGTATTTTGTGCATCTTCTATATCTTTTAGATAATGGCTTTCGTAGTTCTCTAAGTATCTGACCCATATAGTAGAACTAGAATATTATTATTGATTTTATACTTATGTTTACTCATAAGATTAGTACACTAGTGGAAACATGGTATTTGATCAGTTGTCTAGAATGTAGATTGTATATTTATCAACAAAAAAAAAGAGGTAAATTAAGGTTGATATTATTCTCAGTTATGGATTGATGGTAGATCCGTTGTTATTTCTAAAATTATACATTCTGTGTATTTTTTTTATTAATTTTATTGGGTTTATATTTTAATGTATTCAATTGATTGGGATAATTAGTTAACATCCTTTGTAGTAAAAGAAACAAATAATAATTAACAAATAGATATAGTCATTTTTAAGATGTTAATGTAATTAGATGCCGGCTCAGTGATATAGAGGTTCAGCGTTCACATCCTCAAGTTTGAATCTCGCGGGGTAAGATTTTGGATGTGCAATTTTGACGAGTCTCATACTAGGACGAAACAGCCTACCAATGTTTCCAGGCTTTCTATAGCATTAATCGACTCATGAATTCAACCATTGAATTAGCAATTAAGTTAGTTTAAAGATTATCATTACTTCTAATACTCTGATATCGGGTTTGTTAGTGTGCTTTGATAATAAAAGAAAAACGATAACTAACCGTGTAAAGTTATTCAATTCGTTGAACTGATTATGTAAGTCATATGTTAAATGTCAGAGTAATATCTTTCGATGTAAATAATTTACTTTAAACTAAATCCGTATCGGGTAGAGACAGCTATCTACCTCAGTACAATGGAAGATGGTCACGCAATTTCATTGATTGGTTGAAGTTAGATATTAACACCGTTGTATGCCGACTCAGTGATTTAGGGGTTGAGCGTTCGCGCTCGAGACTGAAAGTCCCGGGTTTGAGCCCTGAGAGTGGAATCATGGATGCACACCGCTGAAGAGTCCCACAATAGGACGAAACGGTCGTTGAGTGCTTCCAGGTTTTCAATGGTGGTTTAACATCAATCAGTTCATGATCTCAATCAAAAATTTTATATTGATTCAATAAAATATAGTTTTCCATTAAATCATTAAGCTATTAGATTTATAGGAAACATTATTCAATATTTTTCGATTATTTTTAAATAGGCATTTAAAATTGATGATGCGAACCTTTAACTTACTTACTTACTTACTTACTTACCCCTGTAATTCCTCCTGAATGAGTATAAGTCACCCATCACAACTCTTTATCCAAATCTGTTTTGGCAATCATTCACACATGTTCCCAATTGTTATTTATCATTCAAAATCTGCTTTCATTTCACAAGGCAGTGTATTCTTTGATCATGATGGAAGTCCATGATTTCCAAAATGTTTGTTCTATCCACATCCAACGTCTATTAATAATTTCCACTTCAATTAGAAGCTGATCTATTCTTCATAAACAATCATTAGATAAGATTACTGATATAAACAATAGTTCTTCTATTTTATTATACTGTTAATTTTTATTTCAATGTTTAAATCAAAATAATTGTATAGATGTGATATTATGGAATATCTTCAGCTCCTTCAGAGCCTCTTACAGCTTCCTCGAGTTCATCCATGGTCTGTTGTCATAATATGTATACCTAGATCATGGTAATTCGATAATTTGTACATCATTAAGTGTCTAGTAACTACTATGATTTCATTTGGTTTTGTACTTATGTACAGAGGTCCTGGGATATATATATATATATATATATATATATATATATATATATATATATATATATATATATAAAGGATTCACATGCTAAAACGAGGCAGTTGTCCTGCTTTATATAGTTTCCAACGATATACTAACTGGGAACAGTCTGTAATGAATGTAGTCTGTAGTCTCTCAGTTAAACAATAAATGTTAACTTACCAATGATTAGCTTTAAGATGTTGCTGAAGGTCTAATGAGAAATTGTAATGAGTCTTATTCAAAAGTATCTTGAGTGAAACAATGTACATCAATGTCATTAGAAAAATTATCCTGCTATATTGCAGATAGATGGAAGTTTGTATTTTATAATTAAACGGTAAGTCAATGTTTTTAACAGTTCTGAATTCAACTCCTAGGAGATAGGTCATCGACGCTCATCTCTGTAGGGTACTATTCTAGGACAAATTTAATCAAATTATACCAAGGTTTTTAGTGTTACATCAAAAATGATTGAGTTATGCTGGCTATATATATACACATCAATTCATTGGATAGATCTTCAATGTAACAGACTTTATATCATCTCTTATTATTGGAAAATAAAGTAAATTTGTCTTCAGAACTACATTTATTACTGAATATGTTTATTTTAGTAACATTCTAAACTGAAATTTTGTATAACCAAAGTAATTGACAAGTTTATGTAAAGCATATTAACTAGATTTATAGGAAGGGGGACTAGCTTTCATTGATGGCTTAAATGTTTTTGTTTTATTACTGTAGACTCTTCTAAATGATGTGTCTTGACTTAGTGAGATTTGTGGTTGAACAAGGATTGATTCATTTAGCTCGTGATTTTCGATGATTTTTTAAAAATGGTATATTATGTTATACTGTCCCAGAGTGAGCATCAATTCTGAAATGCAGGTATATTCAGCTGACGAGTCCGAAATAGGACGAAACACAAGTTCTGGATTCCACTACTATATTAGGAGAAAGTGGTTGTTCAGTGTTATCTGACTTATATCAATAACTTAGTTTAAGTTAATCATTGACAGATGCTACTAGTAATTGACCACAGATGCCTTAGTAATATTACTCGCATGTGCTGGGATCATCGGGTAAGTAATAGCAAGGTTAGATGCAGGGTATTAGGGAATAATGGTATATCACTTGATGAGGTTGTGGATCTCCATCGACTAAGATAGTTCGGCCACGTGTTACGTATGCAAGAATACTGATTACCACGACGTGCAATGCTGAATAGTGTTGGGAATGGTTGGGAGAAAGTTAGGGGTGGCCAAACCAAAACATGACATCAGTGCTTGAAGTCACTAATTTCTAGTCTGAACCATGTTGGTAGATGCAGACTACTTGGTTGGGGTCCGCGTGACTATCGTAACTAATGGTTGGAGACTCTGTGTGACATAGCTCAAAATCGACCACAATGGCGTAGATGTATACAGTCTTTGTTTTCCCTTAAACTATGAGATCAAAATTACTTCATATCTTTCTTTCTACGAACTAATTCTTTCTTTCTGTACTATATCTTTACATAAAATCTTTCCTTTATTTATTACATCATTGAGTTAATTGCTTCTATGAATCCGGTGTTCGTCGTGCTGTATTAATGAGGTGTGGCAACTTGAACCGGTGCATGTATGTGCCTGGTCCTACGTTGTAACTGACTGATGGATTGACTGACCTTAAAAGATTTACTGATCCCTACAAATTAACTCAACAATACATATATATTTATATACTGGCCCTTCATTTAGATAAGATCCAACAATTCATCCAAAGTACTAAAGGTCTTATATCAATGTTTATTTGAATACAAATATTAAACCATTATGCAACGATACATCATTTTTATGCTCAAATCTACATGAAAATTATATTACCTAACCTTAAACCATTTGATAAACTAACTCAATTCATTAAGTTCGTACTGTAGTGAAGTGTATATTTATACAACTGAATTGCTAATGTAGAAAGTAAGAAGATTGATTAGAAGATGATTTCATTTTATTTAACGTGGTTCTCATCAGTTGCTAACAACCTGTAATATTCTATGAACTGTAAAATATCATATATTTCTATCTTATGATGAGATATATATAGATTTATATCTATACTGATGTATATTTAAAACTAATCTCGTAGTTAAATTGACGAGTCAATCTAAACTAGACCGTCACTAAATCTCGGAGACACTAGAAGGTCATTTTGTTCAAATGTTGAACTCCTCAAAAATGCGCA